CCCCCATGTCATCCCCCACCCCAAGCCCTGGCTAGGCTTTGGGTGGAATCCAACAGGAGAATGAAACCAGAAATTTTCTGCTCAAAACAAAGGTACCAGCTATTCTGGCTTGCTGATCTCTCGTATATAAGGCTGGACCTGCTCACAGCGACTTTGGAAGCCTCACCTACAGATGGATGCACCACGTAGGATTTCCCACTTGCCAGGACAGGCTCTGCAAATCCTCGCTGTGACCGGGGCTGCCCAGTGACTGTGGATCTGGATGATGGTAACATATGCAAGTGGTGATGTAACTTTCTTAATCACTATTCTCTCTCTCAGGTAGTAATGATTTGGTGCATTACCCTGTATTTTCCTGTTTGTTTCTTTAGGTGCACTATTCTGCCTTTTCTTACTGTATGTTTCTGTATTACACTGTTACATTATTTGGTTATCACCAGTAAAATACACCTGCTCTTTTCACTCTGGTGTCCAAGTTTAATTGATATCCTTAATCAGTAAAACACACCTGTACACAAGTCACCTGTTTAACTGCTGCCTCTTCAAACAGGAGGCAAACATTTGCCTGGATGAAACATTTGCTCTGTGTTTGACAATGCAGAGGTGGGAGGTAATCAGGAAGGAGTCTGACATGTGCAAATGAGAAGGCCTTGGTGATTTTTGCACCATCCCTGACTTACACTCCCCATTTTCCAGAGCATTTGAAAGTTTCTCCAGAAAGGCCAGCTTACACAAGTCTTAACATCAGTGGTTTTGCCATACCCTGCACAGGGAGAACACTCTGCACATAGCATGGGCTCCCACTGTACCTTGTACAGCTCTCACCTCAGTGTTCCCAGCTCCCAGGAGGTCCTGCCCTGACCAGAGGATTGCAGCTCAAGGACTGCCCAGATTCTCCTTCCCATTGCTCTTTCCTTATCCTCCTGCCTGCATTCTTTGCAGAAGCAAGCTGCAATGCTTTGCTGAGTTTTCCTGCACTCCAATCTTCAGCTGCCCTGGTAAAAATATTTTAAACTTTTTTTTTTTTTTTTTTTTTTGGGGGGGGTTTTTTTTTTTTTGGAGGGGGGCAGTTATACTACCATTTTCAGAGGAAAAGCCCTTGCTAGTGTGTGACATGAAAGGACAGAGCAGAAAATGCTGTCCATTAATTTGCTGCTACACAGGGCCTATGCTGAAATCACTGTGTTCTTTACACTCCTCCACTCCACACATGTCACTCCAAGATCATTTTCCTCTAACAGCAGTGGCCTTATTCATTCTTAAAGGAAGTATAGGCAATGAGATTGCAGTCACACATTTCTAAAAGGCTCCTCTTTGAGCTGTAAAGGGAATGTTACCAGATTCAGTCTTGTTGGCCGTGGAGCATGCTGTGAGTAGATGCCCTGAAGTTACACTAGCAAAGGGTCAAGGTTATCTTTCAGATCTGGTGATTTCCAAGAGTGTTTCCTGTAGTTTATTAAAACTTGAGGAAAAAGTGTGAGACTATTTTTCATTCTACCATTCCTGTCATTTAACACAAAATGACAACTTTCCTTAACATTTCACCCGAGGAAGAATATTTCCAAGATTATACCCTCCATCCTTAACAGTATATTTTAAGATATATTTTTCCAGCTTATCAGCAGACATTTTTCTAATTTATTAATTGTGAACTATTAATACCTTTACTGTCTACCTCTGACTATAGTCAACTACTCTCAAGGGGGAATTCCTGTAGATACAGGGAAGCTTGTACCCTGGGCTAAGCAAAGACTTCCTAGAGAGGCCTTGCTGTAGGTTACAGCAGTTTTACAGCCAGAGTAGCATGGTCATGACCTACAAACAATCAGAGAAAATGTCCTATTTGTTTCAGCAACAGGCTTTTACAGAACAGAATTTGTAACAGGGGTCAGCCAGCATGTGAAAGAGGCACATAAAAAGATTGCATTAGTAGACACAGAAAAAAGAAATTGTAGAGAGCAAGTGTTTGAGGATCTCGCATTCCCACTTGCAGTCCCTGCAGCTCAGCAGCCATCCAGTATGAGTTAGAGAACTCTCTGGAAAGGTCAAGCCACTTGTATTTCATTTTTCATCCCCCACTTTGGGCAGTAGCATCACCAAGCAGAACACCAACACCACAGGTACATGCTGAAGTTAACTTTCATCTGGCCTCTGCACTCTGAAAAGCTAGATGCAGCCACCAATAAAACCAAGGATAAGAGCAGAACACAGCCAGCATGTTAACATAAGCAGGTTTTTTTTTTTTTTCTCCAGCTTCTAATACACAAAAGTTGATATTCAGTTTCATCATTCAGCAGCAAATCAATGTTGGGCACCCGATAAATTTATCCCTCCCCATGCTCTGAACAATGGTTTCACTGTTGCTCACTCCTTTCCCTGAGCATTCCCTCTGGATTTGCCATTTTTAAATGGAGTGCAGTGGTTAGCTGTTTGATGGACTACAAGTACAAAATACCTGCTTCTTTAATGTATGCTTTAGCAAATGTTAAACAAGACCTCCTTTGTGTAAGACACCATATTGCAAGAGGAAAAGTCTCTAAATACCCCTTGGGAGATAGAAGAGCGAGTTGGATTAGCTGAGTAGAAAAGGTGCTGATGTTGACATAATTTCTTATTGTTAACCTAGACCTGGGATCAGTAGTGAAATTTTTCATTTTGAAATTGCTTCATGACACATGAACAAGAACCATGCCTCTCCTAGAGCAGGTCTGTCTGCCCACCTGTCTCTTAGGTGGTAGCATGTTCAGATAAGATGCAGCAGCTTGTGCTTGCAGCTATTTAGTACCACCTGAGCAGGCAGCTGGCAGCCCTCCCCAGATGCCTCCTTGACAGATGGGAATTGTTCACATGCAAAGAAGAGAAGCAGACAGCAGGGATGAGGTCCTCAGCATCCTCTGAGATAGCTGACTTGCTTAGTAAGGCAGAGATTTCTCTCTGACAGACTGAAAGCTCACTTGAGCAATCCAGATACAGCTATGACATTCCCATTATCCTCTTTCCTCCCCGATACCAAATATACCTGTCTGCACTCCCAGCTCTGGGTGGGCTAGCATGCAGACAACTGCCAAGTCCAGTGCCTGGTTTTTGGCACTCTGCGCAGAACCACTGTTGAACTCAGGATGGTTGAGAAGCTGACATGCAATGTAGACCAATCTAAGTGATTTGTAAATAAATAGCTGAGCTTATTTCCACACATCACAGTGAGTTGCACAGAGCTCATCTGATGCAGATGAGGAAGCACAACCCCAGCAACACTTCACATACAGCTGTTCTCATTCAGGAACATCAGGGCTGCAATCCTGAATCAGTGGGAGAGGACTTCATACTTCTGTCCTCCAGAGGAGTGGGGAGGAGACAGAGACCCTATGGAGCAGAAGTCTCCATGACTTTAATTTGAGCCCATGATAGCTAGGTAGGACCTGAAAGAGAAAGGACAATTTCCCAAGGACCATGAAATAAGCCTGTGGATCCTTCTGGAGAGGGGGTTTCCCATTAGATTGCTTCTACAGCATTCCAGAAATAAATCTTATCTGAGGTAGCTGTAAATATACTAAATGCTCATTTAAAGCTCAAATTTCTATTTGCAACAAGAGTTTCAGTTTTCTGGTAAAGAGTCACTGTTTCACTAGTACATGTGGAGGGAGGACTAGTTTCTGATACAGTGACTGTACTCTCATTTGCCCTGTGGTCAAGATTACAAGAAATTGTTTTTTGCCCAAATATTGCATACTGTACCCTGAGTCTTAAACAATTCCCTGCATCAGGACTATAAGCCACAAACTGACTACTCTGCTGGTAGATAGCACATTTGACTTCTGCCAAGTCTGAAGAACACACAGGTGTTTGTGGAAGACTCCAGATACCATATAGGATGAGTAAGAGCATACCAAATCCTGGTAGGATCCAAAGTCCAGGAAGTGGTTTCTAGGAAGGTAATCTCTTTCCTAAGAATCTGACAGACAAATTAACAAAAACTCAACTTTGGGAAAAGTAAAGAATGATAAGCATCTATGGCTTCCTGGCCTTGAAGATAAATCACTTCCATAGCAAGTGGCACAAAAGAGGCTGTACAGAGCAGTCTGTAGAAGGACTTAAACACAATGGATATGCAGGGGGAGACAAGAAAGCAGCTACACTAACTAGGACAGTAGCAAAACTTTATCAATGTAGGGGACAGGGGCAGTGTGTCCACCAAGGTCTTCTCTTGTTCACTGGCTAGCTGACTCTGTAGCTGCACTGTCACATCAGTTTACCTACCTGCTCCACATAGGTGGGGACATGGAAACAAGGAGGCATAATAGTTGATTTTTAGTTTATTTATTTTCATTCCAGGTAGGCTATGCAAGTTCAGGCTGGCCTTAAATAAGAGACTCCTGACGGTCTCTGCAGAACAAGAGAGAGCGCACACAGAGCCAGCCTTGCTCAGACAGGCTCATGCTGGTCTGAGCTATGCTGCCATCCCTCCAGTGCAGAGGACAGCCAGTTTTCTGCACAGGAGGCAAGGGTGAGCAGGCCAAGATGGCACAAAACCACCTCCAAATCAGTTTGTCATACTACCTGTGATTGTTATTTGTGGTTTACACATCAGAGCACAGTGGAAGCCATTGAGGGATCTCCTTGCACAAGCACTGCAAGCTTTCATTTAAAGCTTAGGGTAATGCCCTGATTCTGTATGTCCCTCTTGACTGCAGAGAATATGATTTCATACATTGGCCCTCCCAGGGGCAGCTTCTCCACCACACTGACCACACTACAAAAACAATCTTTGTGTTCTTGATCAAAATATCTTTTAACCCTTTTGATGCCGACAGAGGTGGCATGGCAGGTAAGCCATGATTTTGTTACACATACTGCAGTTTGGTTTAAGTAGATTTAAGAGGTAGGCAGAAATAGTAAGGGTAAGGAATCAAACTTTCTTTCCTTGTTGACTCCCCAACTTTGGAAAGCAACCTAGGTTTAAAAATATTGTAGCAAATTGCTAGACAGAAGATAATTTACCCTGGGCTGTCAGGCTTATATTTGACTAAAAAGCTTATGCCCACTTCAGTGGTGAAACACTGGAACAGGTTGCCCAGAGAGGTGGTAGATGTCCCATCCTTGAAAACATTCAAGGTTCAATTGGACGGAGCTCAGAGCAACCTGATCTAGTTGAAGATGTTCCTTCTTATTGCAGGGAGCTTGGGACTGGATGACCTTTAAAGGTCATTTCCAATCTAAATTATTCTATAATTCTATAATAATCCCGAGATACAAAAGCTGATACAAAACAAGATATTTGAAGACAAAAAGGAAGCCTATAGAGGATGGAAGTAAGGACTGGCAGCCTAGGAGGAATGCAGAGAAATTGTCTGAGCAGTCAGGGATCAGGTTAGGAAAACCAAAGCCCTGATAGAATTAAATCTGGTCAGGGATTTCAAGGGCAACAAGAAAACCTTCTATAGGTATGTCAGTGATAAAAGGAAGACTAGGGAAAATGTGAACACTCTCAGGAAGGAAATGGGAGACCTGGTTACCTGGGATATGGAGAAGGCTGAGGCACTCAATGACTTTTTTGCCTCAGTCTTCACTGTCAGCCACACTGCCCAAGTCACAGAAGGCAAAGGCAGGGACTGGGAGAATGAGGAACCTCTCAC